CAATACAGGGGGCAGATCTCTAAGCTCAGACAGATGCTGGGATGTCTCATCCTCAAGGAATTTGAGGCAGGCAAGCACAGCACTGTGGCTCAGAAGGTTTTTCTGTGTCCTTTTCAAATTCCTCTTGTAGCAGTTATTTACTCTTGTAGCAGTTATTAATATAATAAACAAATAAGTCCCATGGGAACCATGGTGAACACCAGTGTGGTGATTAACGAATCTCTCTTTATTCAAATAGTCACAGCTTAAATAGTAGTTTCAAGTGATCCCACGTCACACAGGTAATTTCCTAAGCCAATCCCATACAAACATTCAAGTGAGCATGTGCAACAGAGTACTTAAAACTACAATTCCCAGAATGCCTCTGCAGCACCTGGTATAGCCACACCCCACATCTCCTCCGTTTTTAATAACAACAAAATACAGAACAGTGCAAATTCAAAAAAAAAGTGCAATCCTTAACAAAACATTCTTCACTTGACACAGTAAACTTATTTCTTATTTAAACCTTATATCCCTAAGAGTTCTATGCAACTGGGTAGAACAATAGCCTTTATTATCTGAGGGTTTACCTATGATTGGGGAAAACTAACTTTAATATTAAAGCACAAGGAAAAATTTAAAGGAGGAACATCATGTTCTGATGTCTTTTGAAGGTGATGTGTTAGACGTAGTGTTTGTCTCAGATATATTGTATAAGGTGTATATGGTTTTCATACATTCAGGCATCCACACAATCTCTCTCATTCATTGGGGTGGCCACCCATTCTCTCTTCATTCATGCATACTTGCAACTTAACAATTCTTAAATGAAATCTGTTTGATTCAGCCCTTACTTAATCACATGCATATTCTCGCCCTGTACTCTCCCTTTCTTGTTGCTAATATTGAAAATTAATGAATTTGAAGGTATAATATTGGTATGTAGTGTGTACATTCCTGAGTGTACAGTTAGAAAAAATGAATAGGTAAGTTACTATTACAATCCGTTACTTAATAATAATAGAAGTCTTAAAGATGCTAATTACATTACTTAAACAAAATAGTTAAATATTTAAACTTATCTAGATGCATTTAAGAATTTAACAATTTTAAACAATACTTAGTAAACCTTAGTAATTTAAACAACGCTATAGGGAAATTAGAAACTTAAAAGTGTATCAATAAGGCAAGTTGAATTCTTCTCTCTTATCAATGTAAACAGAAAAATCAAAGATAGGCAACTAAGAGATTTACGTGAAAAACATGTAAAAACAGTCAGTATATTTAGAGTTTGCATAGATTGGCCCCGGCCCGGGCCGCTGCCCCCCCTCGCGAGGGATGGTGTTGTCACTGTTTATGTTCCCGGGGGAGTCGGAACCGCTGCGGCCACGGCGTGGCCTGCTCGCGGGGGAGGCCATGCTGCTGGCACCGCTCTTCTTTCGGCCCCGGGATTCGGAGAGACCTGCTGTCCGGCGGCTCCAGCACCCGCCGCCGCTCACGTGGCGCAGGGCCGTCTGCCCGCCAGAGTCCTCTCCAGTCGACCCGGAGCCGGTCGCGGGGTATTGCCGTGGAGGAAATGTGCCCGGCCACGGTCGGCCACTGGCCGGGCGACGGTCTCCGCGCCGGCCCGTCCCCGCGGAGACTGGAGTTCAGGCTTTGGCGGGGTGGGCTGGCGCGCGCGCAGCCAGGACACGGGTACAGCGCACGCCCAGCCGCGCCAGGGTGTCTCCGGGCTGCAGACGGTGCTTCCGAGGGGCCGTGCCGGCCCTGCCGCTCCCAGTCATGGCCCGGGGGGTCCTTCCGGGGGTCCTGGTCCGGCCCCGCGCTCCATGTTCGTTGCCTGCACTGCTCTCCTCAGCCCGTGGTGCCCGGGCATGCTTCGCACAGCTACACGCAGCCGGGTCTCGTGCGTCGCTGCCCACATTTCACCCGCCCCGAGACGCCCCGGCCCTGCTCCCCCAGGTCGCCCCGACGGTTGTTGAGCGCCCTGGGACGGCCCGACACGGCGCCTCGCATCTTGGGCGTGCAGTTCCTCAGCCACACTAGGAAGTCCACGAGCGACGTGGTGGCCACTGCGGGCCTCACATCGCCGCCGGCCACGGGCGGTACGCACACGCCGCCAGACATGGCCCCGCCCGGGGGAGCGGCCACAGCCGCGGACACCGGCATGGATTCCCTTTTGCCGGCCACGCCGCCCTCGGCTCCGTCTACAATTTCGGGCCACAGCCTCGGCACAAGCCCGCCCGGCCGCCCGCAGCCCCGTGTGCCCGGGTCGTCTCGGTTCGGAGTCCCCTGGACTCCATCCGCAAATTTGCGCCATAGTCCCGGTGCAAGTCCGTTCAGCCATTCGCCTTGCCGCTTGGGATGGCCGCGGTGCCGCCTCACGGCTTCTCCTCAGGCACGGCGGCCGCCCTTCTGGGCCGGGGCTCCACATGGAGCTCCGCCGGGAGCTCCACACGGGTCAGAGGCGCGGCGGGAGTTGCCGCTGGCCGCGGAAGGGTCCCCGCGCTCGGGCTACCATCTTCCGCTCGGCTGCTCCTCGGCTGGGCTTCAGCCCGCCCGTGACCCCCAGGCAGAGCCGCCGTGCGGCTGCGCTGCCCCAGCTCCCGCCGCCGTGCCGCTCCCGGTGCCCCGCGCCGCTCCGGGCGCGGTGCTGCCCGCAGCGGCCGGGCTGGGCTTGTCGCCCTCGGCGGGAGCGGGCAAGGCCGTTGCGGCAGGCGCGGGGTCCGCATGGGCGCTGCCGCTCATGGTCCTGGCTCCGCTGTCGGAGCCGTGTTTTGCCACTCGTAGTCCCGGGCGGCCCCACGCCACTCCATCCTTTTCAAACATCGCGCCGCTGCTGCTGGTAGGCACAGCAGCCGCTGCCTAGCTACCCGCTTGCAGCACGGACCATGGTCTATGCATGCCTCCCGCAGAGGCAGTCTGTAAGGTGGCCACGAGAGAGGAAGAGAGGATACCATGTCCCGCTTTCGGCATGGGCGAAATGGCGCCGCCCATGCTCCAGCGTGGATTCAAAGTCCGTTCCTTTTCACCAGTCACACAATTTACGACATGCACCTTCCTCCCGGGACCCAAGCATCCGTGAAAATTTAGCATAAAAAGGTACATTCCAAGGCCCCTTGTCCGAGTTCCCGGCACCCCCCCCCCCCCCGCTTTCCACATGGTAAGACCACGTGGAGGTCGCTGCCCGGGCATGTCTGTGGGGGGAGAGACTCAAGGTTTTCCTTTGTGGATGAGTTTTGTTGCGCGGATTTTAAAATGTCCATTTTCTTCACCTCTGCTTTCTTTCCGTTTCTCCACTCCCCTCTCCAAGTAGTTTCACCAAGAACTGTAAACAGTACCAGTCGTGAAACAGTTATCTTCATGAATTTTAAAAGTCCAGCTATTTTATGTGTGTTAACTCGTCTTCAAAGTCCTTTCAACATTAAGCTTAAGGCTTTTGCAACATTCTGTGGTTCACGTGAATGAAAAGTTTTCATTTTTTCTTTCCTTTTTTTTTCCTTTTTCTATTTTTTTTCTTTTTTCTATTTTTCCCACCCTCTCACCTGGACGAAGGTTTTTCTTCTTCTTTCTTGTTTCTTCTTTCTTCTTTGTTTACGAGAGGTTTCTCTTCAAACGTAGGCAAATTCCTACCGAGATTTTCAGGCCTTTACTTTGAGCTCAATTGTGGTTACTTCACAGACGCCCATCAGAGTTTCCTCTTCTCTGGTACCTGGCGTGTATGACTTTTTAATGGCGGGTGTCCTTCAACTTATATTAAAGTTGGTACCTGACACCTGTCCGTAATTTTCCCTGATTCAGGATAGGCCTGGGTCTCTGTTACGGGCGCCAAATGTAGCAGTTATTATTATAATAAATAAATAAGTCCCATAGGGACCATGGTGAACACCAATGTGGTGATTAATGAATCTCTCTTTATTCAAATAGTCACAGCTTAAATAGTAGTTTCAAATGATCCCACGTCACACAGGTAATTTCCTAAACCAATCCCATACAAGCATTCAAGTGAGCATGTGCAAGAGAGTACTTAAAACTACAATTCCCAGAATGCCTCTGCAGCACCTGGTATAGCCACACCCCACATCCTCTATCAGACAAAACAAGACAGAAGTAAAACCTCTTCTATCATGCAGGGCTTTAAAACATTTTGCAGCAAAAAAAGAAACGGACAGTCAGAAAAGTAGTAGAATTAATGAAAGTTGTATCAAGTGAGAGTCTTCTCCAAATCTGCTTTCAATTTGTGTAAATAACTGCAAAACCAGCAACTTAAAAACATTCAGTAAGATGCCAGTAACCAGTGAAAACCAGTTTCAGTTAATTAAAGTCATTCCCCAACACTCAAAAAAAACATTAGGAATCATGCATCTCTGTCTCACCTACCTGGTATGCTTGCACAGAAGTACACTACCAGCCTACATAAAAAAGAGGACAGTTTCAGTATTAACATCTTGCAGGTAAAAGTAATAGTCTGCAGAATTATTGTCAAGAACTCCTGACATTGGTGAAGTGCTGGTCTTTGAGTTAAACATTAAATTCCTTTGGTTTCAGGTCCCTTATCACAAGAGCTACAACATGCACTTAGTGGGGACTGGCATGTAAAAATTTCCATTGCTTTCTGGGTAGATGTAGTGGGCTCAGAAGTGGCTGATCATCCCCCTCTTAATCTGAGTCCCTAGGAGACCCTCACAGATAACGTAGACTGAACAATGTCTTGTTCACTCTGAGTCTGCATTAGAACTCTCATTATCACAGATGCACAAATAGCACAGCATCAACATTGGGCACATTCACACTCCCAGATAAGTGTGCTTTACTGACCTTTGTGACAGAATAAGGTACATAAATAGTCAGTGATAAATATACTGATATGAGACAGCACAAGCAATGGTATTGCCATGAAATAAGCAATGGTATTCCTATGAAATAAGGGGGAGCAGAGGGGTACAGCCCATTGGCCATTCAAGGATACAAAGGGGGAGTCTCCCCTGACCTCCTTCCCCTTTTAAGTTGTATTTATATTTTTTTCTTTGAGAGTTGTGAAAATACAACATTCCAGTTGATGTCATCTCATGATAAGGTGCAGTTTGAGTGACTTTACTCATATGTACATGTAAAGCATGTACAGGTTTTACTTCATAAGCATATGCAGGGTGTTAAAAGTAATAGGTATTTGCAAGCCAGTGAAACAAAAGTTCAGCTTTTGGGCACCGGTTTGGCCATTCCTCTGGCTCAGTTCCATCAGCTGCAATTGTTTGAAACAGGGCACAACCACAACACCTCTGTGTCGCTCCATCGCTTGTTCCATTCCTTTCTCAGGGCAGCACACCAAGCTCCCTCAGTGTCTCTGCTCCTAATATATGTAGAGCTTATTTCTGGTAAACTATTGCCAACAGAGACACTTCTCTTTGCTCAGCTTTGTCTTTTAGCATTTCTCCATAGGGACTGAAAGAAAATGTCAGCTTATGGCACCTGTACTATAAGGCTACAGAAAATGTTATGTGAGGCCTCTACCATAGCCAGATGTCATTGTTCCTTGGGAAACGACAACAGTCAAGAAGTACATTTTCTGTTTGCAGTAGTAAGAGAATACACCTTTACAGGATGTGTACATGCAAAGTATCTTATGCGAACAGATCTTTTAAGAATGCACACTACTGGAAAAAGCATAAGCCAAAAAAAAACGAAAACTAGTACTGGTAAAAACAAAACTGCTGTGGATAAAAGCCAACTGACCAGAAAGCACAGAACAGCCTACAGGGATTTCACAAGGCATGAAAATTTCACACCACTTTATAACAGAATAGTCTCCATTCAACAGAATCCCTTTAGCAGACCACTGGAGGTCTTCCAAGGCCTCTGGACACAATCCTAATTAATGCGCTCTCATAGGCTCCTGCCTAAGCAGGGAGGTTGAACTAGATGACATCCAGTGATCCCTTCCAACCTTATCCATTTTCACATTCTGTGAAAACGAATAGCAAGTCCAAATCCCTTCTCACAGTTCCCATTACATAATTTTCCTGTTGACTTTCAGACTGTGTTGTTAATACTGGCCTCGTGCACACAACTGGACATGAAAACCTGAAAGGATATGAGCGATCTATCCTAAAGGGGGAAGACATAGCAAAAAGCAATAAGCACTTCTTCTAGTCATCTCCTCAGTGTTCATTTGTACTGCCTTGCATAGTCTCAAGCACACAACACTTTCTGGACACTGATACCCTTATTCATTATGCAAATGAATAAGCTCCTTCTGTAGATATTTCCCTCGTAAAGTTATTCCCAGCTATCCTAAAAAGGGATGTCTGTTACACTTGTTATTCAGCAGGGCTCACTGATAGTAGGTCTTCAGCTGAATAACAAGGTGAGGGATCTCACAGGATTTCTTTTAACACTACTACTTCTGTAGCTGCACTGATGAGTGTGGGGTTTTCCAAACAACCAGTGAAGTATTTGACCTAAGACAGCAAGTCACTTTACAAGGTTTCTCATAATGTTTAAAGAAGACCCCCTGTATCCTGAACCAAAATGGTTCCAATGGTTCATGTAGTGAAACAGCTGATAAAGCTTCAGGCGTTTCTCAAACCCTGCAGCTTTGGGAATTTTACTGTGATAAGCAGAATAAAAAGAACTGCTGAAGCCACCAAACATCCCAGCTATTGCAAGCTCATACTCTGAATGACCATAGAAAGAAGCCGGATCAAAGATAATTGGACCAGAATCATCCTCAGCTACGTTTCCTCCCCAGAGATCTCCATGCAGGAGAGCAGGAACAATTTCTACATCACAGAACAAACTGGGTATCTTCAGCTGCAGAAGAAAAAACAAGACATTTAATGCTACATTCTAAGGTGAATGATTGTAGAGTTTTATCTGCACAAACAGCATAGGACCAGTAAACAAAGATGTTGAGCAAATCCAGAGGATTACTATTTTTCATAGAGTCAGCAGCAGAAGAAGAGCTATACAAGCCTTTTTTAGCAAGAAAACTAAAAATTTAAAACTGTATTTGGTGCTGGAATATTGACCAGATTTAAGACCAAACAGCACCACCACTCCATCATTAGAAGGCTAATGGATTTCTCACCAACCCTGAGGTATTTTCACAAAGTAGTATCCAAGGAGCTAATACTGCAGTCATAAATGCAAACAATGTGCTTATGTACATTTCTCATCATGAACATGTTACAGGGAATGAGAAATATGGACTCCATTTAGTATTTCCCAAATACTAAGGCAAAGTGTTATCTGTCACTCTGGAATTCATTTTGCAATACTAGCATAGAGTGACACAGCAAAAGCCCTTACACTTTAAAATAAAGGGCCTTCTAACACCTGAAAACTGGAGTTTCTTACCAACAGAACCTGGGCCAAAACAACAAACAGGAACTTTGTTTTAAGTAAAAAAAATCTGAATAACTGATACCCAGCCATCATTATAATGAGAACTGAGAGAACTGCTCCTACCTGAAGTTGTGCCCAAAGTTCTCTTGCTTCCCTGTCTCCTGAATTCTTTTCTATCATGTCCATTTGGGGCTGGATTCTTTGTTTGGCAAAGAAGGTCACCCAGTCACTCTGCCAGTCATTCACCTGAAGGACAGGACTGACATGTCAGTTCTACACCACACAAAAGGCAGATTTTCTTCTTTTTCAAATAAACATTTTGAGGATTATACAGCCCTTGTGCTGGTACTAACTACAATGATAAATGCTACCATTTAACTGGATGCTCTCTTAAAACATTAGGGGAGTAAACAGTTTTCTCTTGGTGATTAAGAAATGGAAGAGCTGTGGATGTCCAGCGCAGCAAGAAGTGCTGTCCAAAGCACTAGTTTCCTTAGAAGACTGGAAAATGTTTTTTCTTTTCACTGCTCCCCAAAAAATCATTTATGATAATAATTTTGACCCTTTGTGTGATTGAAGAGAAAAAAAGGTAAATTTAAAAAACTATAAACTTAAAAAGATAAACTTCTGATGAAGTCAAACCTACCTGTGGAAGATAGCCACAGCAGGTAACTGTATGAAAGCCAAACTGATCCACAAACTGGACTTCTGTTTGCCCTTGCCCTTTACCTTTCAAATCAAAAACAAAAATTCAACACTAATGACAAAATACTAAGCAGCCACAATGCAAATGAACCTTAAAAACTATGCAAAAGTACAATGCTGCTTCTACTGAGAAAAAAAAAACTGCACCTTAATGCTCTTTTTTACCATGGTTGCTGCTGTTTTTTAAGTTTAAAGCTCAATGTAATGCAGCCATATTCTACTTTTCATAATCGCATTTTGAGGTACTGTATCTCCTCTGATGCCACGTTCTTCTAGAAACTGTGGTTTAGACTCCTGCCAGTGCCAAACTGACTGTGTGTTTTGCTCACAGAGATCCCAACAGAGCAAATAAAAGGAAAAAGAAGACCCCCTAGCTGGGTGCTACTATCTTTAGTGGAAGAAGACAAACTTGTCCTGAAGTGGCAAAAGCTATTTCAACTATTCTGTAGGTTATTACTACTTAGGTTAAATTTGCAAACAGTACTGTACCAACTGTGCTCTCTTCCTTCTTCAGCTTCTCTCCAAGTTGCTGGTTATGAAGGTGAAGATCAGCCAGCTGTGTTCCAAGAAGAGCTGAATGTCTATGAAACAGTAATATTCTTAGCAACACTGACACAAGAACAAATCCAGGTCTTGATAATCACAGAATTACTTCAAAAGACTTATCTAGTAAGTAAAAGGAATTATTTTGTTAGAGATGTAGAACTTTTCACAAGATTCCAGTTAAAAACACCTCCTCTACCTATGAATATTGCACATAGACAAAATGTATTTATGTGGTTGTTTCTGACATGATTTTTAAAAATGAGGAACTACCAGTTCTAATTTCCATGCAATATCACTTTCAGAACTTCCAGTAAGATATCTGTAAGAAAGCACAACACATTATGTCTTTTTTTTTTTTTTTCCATGACAAAATAGCTTTGGGAAATAGGGCCAAACAAGGCTTTCTTCTTTGTATCTTTCCTCTGGCTTCTTTTCTCTAAGAGGTTTAGAAGATGTGCCAGTCAGGTCGACCTTGTTTATTATCTACTTTTAATAACAGCTCATTCTCTACCCATTGCAGAAAAGTCTTGCAGCAATTACAAACAACTCTTACAGTCAGTTGGCTCCCACATCAATAAAAGTATATTCCTTTTCCTGTCTTTAACCTTTCTCAACTTTCCCTGTTCTCAGGCCACTGTCACTTAAGCCAAACTTATTTCTTCATTTTATTCCTTTTAGCACAGGTGGTAGCTATTCCCAGAATTCTGCACAACAAAGGAAATCTTTGCAACCCAAAATAAGATCTTTGCCCTTTCTATGGGAGCTCTTCATGAATTAGAGACTCTGTCAGTGAGCAGGACGAGGGATGAATTTAAGCTGGCTGTAGAATTTCTGAGAGTGAGGTGAAAAACTGGTCATGACCACCTCCCTAATGGTATCAGACAGATGGATTTAACATATTAAGTGCTTGTCACAAAAAAAGGTCAAAAGTTTGAAACTATCAAAACGAAGGTAAAAGTTGTAAAAATATTGAAATTAATTCATTCGGGGAAATGCTTCTGCATACTCATGACAAGCAATAAAGCATTGGCTCTTATATCAAAGGCAAGTACACAGAACAGGTGATCAGGTCATTTTCCTTACTATAAAAAGGATTCTTACTTTTATCACTAATTACCTAAACAAACAAATCCAAAATTAACCAAAATCCAGACTAATTTCTTGATGTATGGCAAATTTTCTATGTGAAGCATTATAACTGTATTTTATACAGTTTTATACAGTTCTGTGCTGTATAACTTTCCGTATGTCTCCTGACTTGCTCTATAAAAAATTTAAACAAGTTTCCCCTCTGAAAACAAGTGACATAACTGTCGTAACAGCCAAAATTTCTGGTTAAAGGAGGCAAAGATAACACTGTGTTTTACCTGTTTAAGCCCCTCATTTCCAAATGTTCCATCACAAACGCTGTGCTGCCCCCAGGCAGATCTATAACTTTGATGGGTTTAGGCACTTTTATCGCCTGTGTTTTCAGGAGGGCTTCCAAACTTGCCATTTCTCCCTCAAACATTCTTCTGGCCTGCCAGATATTAGAGAAAAGCATCAGTCTCCACGAAAATCAGTCACAGGTAAACAAGGCACTTTCACATAACAGCATTTTCTCAAAACCAATCAAGGCTGTAAAAGTTAAATGCTTCTACTTTAGAAGAGTCAGGCAGACATTGCAGAAAAAGAGCATGTGGGAAATCCAACAGACCTGATTGAAAATAAAAGCAAGGAACTGTAAGAAATAAAACAGAAACCACAACGAATAAAATAGAATGTTACCCCTTTAGTACTGATACATGAAACAGCGTCAAAGGACAATTTGCATTAGATAGTAAATAAAAATTTCAAAGCCTGTGATATCCAAAGGATATCACAGAACATTTTGGGTCTGAATGGACCTTAAAGATCATCTTCTTTCACTCCCTGCCATGGGCAGGGACATCTTCCACTAGACCAGGTAGCTCCAAGACTCATCCAACCTGGCCTTGAACACTTCCAGGGCTGGGGTAGGCACAGCCTCTCTAAGCAACCTGTGCCAGGATCTCACCACTCTCACAGAAAAGAATTTCTTCCCAATATCCTATCTAAACCTATTTTTTGTTAGTTTGAACCCATTCCCCCTTGTCCCGTCACTGCATGCTCTTGTAAAAAAGACATCTTTCCTGTCTGCCCCTTCAGGTACTAGAAGGCCACAATTAGGTCTCCCCACAGCTTTCTCTTTTCCAGGCTGGACAATCCCAGTTCTGTCAGCCTTTCCTCACAGAAGTGCTCCATCCCTCTGACCATCTTTGTAGCTCTCTTTTTGACTCACAAGTGAAGAAATACTGTTCTACTGAGCCATGATTTAGCTCTGTTCAGAGGAAATCAGTTAATACTCTCTCTGTCTAAAGCATCACAATAGGTTACAGCCTGCTGCTAAAGTAAGAGTAAAAACTACTGATGAACAGCTGCTGCTGTACACACAGCACAGCATTTACAACAGACCTGAATGAAGTTCGCTTTCATCAGTGCTCAGGATCCACACACAGGCAAAAGCATGGAAAAGGAAACTGCTGGATAGAAAATATACCCAGATCTTTTTGTCCCGAAGCCTAACCTTGTAGCTAGCTGGATTGTACAGCTAAATGCACAATTAGCAAAGGCATAGGAAGGGCCAATTCAAACTACTATTTCTGTTTCAAACAACCGATGCTACCAATTCAAAGTCTTTTCTGTAAAGCTGGATAACCTTCCTATATTATGCCATGTTACCACCTCTGTGCATTCATCTAGCTCCCCAACACGAACAGAAAGCATAGAGAAACTTGGAATAGATACAGTGGCATACATGCTTTCAAACACATTTGTTTGCTATGAAAAGTAAAGTTTTGACTTCTGTTCTGCCATTGAAACTATTTACTTCACAGACACAAATATATTGTATCTTTAAAGGAAATTCCACCTGACCTCTGCTTTTGCTGCTGTAGAGCTATGTTGCATTGTACTTAGGTCTATCAAATGCTGACAGCTACCTTCAACAGCAGTTAGTTCCAAGTATTGAAAGGACAAAATCTTGATGAATTGTGGCAAAATATCACTTACTGAGCAGAGCTCCTTCTCACATACAGGGAATTAATTAGTGGTTTACTTACAACCAAGAAAAGTGCAGACAATTTTACACCTGCCAGGTTGCCTTAGCCCCTAATACAGCACTCGCAGTCACAGTTACACCACTGTTACCCCCCCTCCCCCAACCCCCAACCCCCCACAAATGACAACATTTCACGGTACTGCATGCCCTGGACAAACAATACTGATACCACAACACCATCCCACCACAGAAATTATTTAGGTTGGAAAACACCTCCAAGATCATTGAGTCCAACCTTTGACCCATCCCCACTTTGTCAACCAACCCAGAGCACTTACGCCATGTCATTGTTTCTCAAACACCTCCAGGTAAGGGACTCCACCACCTTCCTGGGCAGCCCCTTCCAATATTTAACAACCCTTTCCACGATGAAATTCCTCCTGATGGCTAGCCTGAACCTCCTCTGGTACAGCTTGAGGCCGTTTCCCCGTGCCCTGTCCCTAGCTTCCTGGAAGCAGAGTCCGACCCCGCCCTGGCTCCACCCTTCTGTCAGGGAGTTGCAGAGAGCGAGAAGGTCCCCCCTGACCCTCCCTTTCTCCACCCCCCCAGCTCCCTCAGCTGCTCGTGGTGCTCCAGACCCTTCCCCACCTCAGTTTCTTTTCCTGGTCACGATCCAGCCCCTTGATTTCGTTCTTGTCCTGAGGGGCCCAGAACTCCCCGCGGACTCGAACTGTGGCCCCAGCAGTGCCCAGCACAGGGACAGTCACTGCCCCGGTCCTGCTGCCACACTAGTGTTGACCCGAGCCAGGAATGCTGCTTCCCACTGCGCCGCTTGCCCACCTCCCTCGCCCCCGCTCCGTACCCCACCACACCTCCGCCTGGGAGTTGATCTTGACGAACACCCGGCCGCGGTCCGTGTCGTAACTGCGGCCCTGGCTGATGCAGCCGCCGCCGGTGTGCCCGGTGTGCCGCAGCAGCGCCGTGCCGAGCTCCCGCCTCAGCGCGTCCTCCATGGCGCCCGCGCGGCCGCTGCGGCTGCGCGCGCAGCTGAGCGCGCACGGGGCGGGAGGTGGCTGAGGGCTCTCGCTCCTCCTGTGCCGGCAGGCTTAGTTTTGTTCTTACTGCTTCCATAGAATCACGAAATATGCCGAGCTGGAAGGGACCCTCAAGGTTCGAGTCCAACCCTCAGCCCTGCACAGGACCACCGCCAAGAATCACACCGTGTGTCCCAGAGTATCAGCCAAATGCTGCTTGAGCTCTGTCAGCCTTGGTGCTGTGACCATTGCCCCGGGGAGCCTGTTCAGTGCCCGACCGTCCGACAAGGGAAGAACTATTTTCATAATATCCAACCTAAACCTCCCCTGACACGACTTGAGGCCATTCCTTCTGGCTCGGGCCTTGTCTCTGGTCCTCACAGAGCAGAAATCAGGGCCTGCCCCTTCTACCACTTATAGTGAAAAGTTTGCATTAACGAGAGAGGACAGAAAACAGCCTTGACGTATTTCAATTTCCTACAATGTTTTTTCTTCAAAAATGCACAGTTTCATAATAGAGGTACTGTGTCTTCCGTATCTACTGAAAAGTTTATTTCAATTTAAAAACCTACGTCTTGAAGAAAAAGACAAGAAAAAGATTCAAATATGATACATGCAACAAGACCAACAAAAGTAGTTAACAATAGTGAAAAAATGCAAAAGTTTGATATGCTGCAGTTCAATAATGACATACATAATCTGACAGAAATTAATCTTAAGTTTCAAATAAATAAGCTATAGTTCCTAGACGTGTCCTCGCTGACACACACAACTGCTGTCAGAACTCCACTCGCTGTTTGTCAAATCCCATAGTAGTCTCTTAATGTAAGGCAGCTTGTTGTGCAGATACTGGCATCTGTTATTCAGAGTAGCTGGGGCTAGACTGCAAAAGAGAAGTAAGAAAATTTGGGCATACAAACATGTCCTTTCCTTTAAAATAGCCTTAAGCCAGACTTAGCACTTACCACCTCCTACAGACTTTTATCTTCTCATACTCTGGTAAGACTTTTGAGAAGCATCTTTAAGGAAAAAAGAAAAAAAACACACAACACAAAACCAAAAATATAAAGCCAATATGAAGAATATTTCACTATTAACACAAAACTCAAAAATATGTACACCAGTAAATATACAGTTTGATTCAAGATTCTGTGAGCCATCACCTGCCTGCTTTGCAAAAAAAAGCACCAAGTTCCCATATCGCCCAAGATCAGCAAGTAAACCTGTCAGCTAGCAACAAAATCAGTACCTGCTCCAATACTCCCTTTGGCACATGCCTCACGCTGCCATGCAGCTCAGAGAGGTGCAGTCTGAGAGATGGACAATTTTTTTGGCTGCGTTTTGTAAAAAAATCAGCGCCAGCCAACATAGCACCTCAGCAAGTATGCCAATCATTTAAGAGAATTTAAAATTATACTCCTTCCCAAAATGCACGAATCCTGATACTGAAGATGTGGTATTTGCTTATCCAAATCAGAACCGTCTGCGCTGGACACCCCGTGCACACCGGGGCGTCTCTGTGCGGCCATTGTGACCTCGCCTGGTGACGGGGGCTCTGCAAAGTTCTGGCGTCACAAAGGGGATCCCCGGCTCCCCTATAAAAGCGGGTGACCCGCAGGTCTCGCACACCACCATGGCCCGCTACCGCCGGCGCTCCCGCAGGAGCCGCAGCCGCAGCCGGAGCCGCCGCCGCTCCCGCCGCCGGGGCGCGCGGAGGAGGCGGCGGGCTGGATCCCGCCGCTCCAGATATCGCCGGCGCC